TGTGGGAGACTGTGAGAGACTGTGGGAGACTGTGAGAGACTGTGGAGACTGTGAAAGACCGTGGGACACTGTGGGATACTGTGAGAGATTGTGAAAGACTGTGAAAGAGTGTGGGAGACTGTGGGAGACCGTGGGAGACTGTGAGAGACTGTGGAAGACCATGAGAGATGGTTGGAGACCGTGGGAGACTGTGGGAGACTGTGGGAGACTGTGAGAGACTGTGGGAGACTGGGAGACTGGGAGAGACTGTGGGAGAATGAGAGAGAGTTTGGGAGACTGTGGGAGAATTGGTAGACTGGGAGAGACTGTGGGAGACTGGGAGAGACTATGGGAGATTGTTGGAGACTGTGAGAGATGGTGGGAGACTGTGGGAAACTGGGAGAGACTGTGGGAGACTGTGAGAGACTGTGAGAGACTGTGGGAGAATGGGAGAGAGTGTAGGAGACTGTGGGAGACTTGGTAGACTGGGAGAGACTGTGGGAGACTGTGAGAGACTGTGGGAAAATGTGGGAGACTGTGAGAGACGGTGGGAGACAATGGGAGACTGTGAGAGACTGTGGGAGACTGTGGGAGCCTGTGGGAGACTGTGGGAAACTGTGGAGGCTGTGAGAGACTGTAGGAGACTATGGGAGACTGGGAGAGACTGTGGGATACTGGGAAAGACAGTGAGAGAATGGGAGAGACTGTGGGAGACTGTGGAATACTGTGAGAGACTGTGCGAGACGGTGAGAGACTGTAGGAGACTGTGGGAGACTGTGGGAGACAGTGAGAGACTGTGGGAGACTGGGAGTCTGTGAGAGACTGTGAGAGACTGTGGGAGACAGTGAGAGACTGTGGAGACTGTGAAAGACTGTGGGACACTGTGGGAGACTGTGAGAGACTGTGAAAGACTGTGGGAGACTGTGGGAGACTGTGGGAGACTGTGAGAGACTGTGGGAGATTGTGGGAGACTGTGAGACAATGTGGGAGACTGTGGGAGACTGTGAGAGACTGTGGGAGACTGTGGGACACTGTGGGAGACTGTGAGAGACTGTGAAAGACTGTGGGAGACTGTGGGAGACTGTGAGAGACTGTGGGAGACTGTGGGAGACTGTGAGAAATGTGGGAGACTGTGGGAGACTGTGAGAGACTGTGGGATACTGTAGAAGACTGTGGGAGACCGTGAGAGACTTGGGAGACCGTGAGAGACTGTGGGAGACTGTGGGAGAC